TTTTTTTTTTTTTTTTAATGTTAGGAAACTGCTTCCGAGTCTTCACTGTTTAAAGTAGGGACTGTTACATTGTATACTTTGGGAGTGTTGAGAAATAAACTGCACTCTGTGATGAGGATGGCTTCCGTGTGTGTTATGTGAAGGGTCCATGGCTTTTCCTGAACACAGCCAGCCAGGAATCACAGGCCTGAACAGGTACAAGGAAACAAACACCTCTCCAAAGAAAATGACATGCTTTGAACGAACATCTGTAGAAAAATAGTGAAACATCTTTGAAATTACATGAACATAATGGCATTGGGGGTAGGCAGGCAAAATGCTTTTCTTGGTATCTGGCCAGGTAATTTAATCCAGGACCTGGACCTAATATATAACAGTGAATTTGACCCTTTTGGAGCTTTCAGTGATAACAGGCTGTGGCATGTGTGCCATAGGTTCACCGCTACTGGTCTAGAGACTCAAACCTGAAGATACTTGAAAAAAATCATGTAGGAATTAAAAACCATTTTGTTTTTCTGAGATAGGTCTCACTATGCAGCCCAGGCTAGTCTTGAACTTGTGCTTTCCAGGATCCTCCTGCCTGAACCTCCCCAGGGCTGGGATTACAGGATAGTGCACATGCTCATCAGGCTTGGAGAGATGGTAATTTGGTCAGGGTTACACAGCTGATAATTGATCACTGAATTCAAACCCTGTTCTTCACCCAGATATTCCTACTTTGGACTTACTTAACTTTACCAGCATTACAACAAGTTGCTTATAGCCCTCTTGTCTAGGAATATATTAAAATGACAGCACTAGCTTTGTGAGCAAAGCTGTTTAATCTTAGCTCTACCACTTAAAAGTATTATATCTGGGCAAGTTAAGGCCTAGTAACAGTGGTTGATATTGACCCCTGTGTTTGGGTGCATGGGTGTGTTAAGAAACTGAGTAAACTGGGGCTGGGGCCACTCATGAGTGTTTCCTACTGTCAGTTCTGTGATTATTAGTATTTTTGTTTAATGGGGCTTGTAAACTAAGGGAGGATTAGTTGTAGCCCAAGAGTCCCTAGCCCATTTTTATTGTGTCCATGGACTTCTAAGCACCACGTTTTACTGATGATTTTGTGTGCCTCTGTGTTACTGATGACTCAACCCAGGGGTTTGCAATTGACTTTCGTACCCAGACCTTTTAATTGGATTGTTAAATTGCCAAGGCTGGGCTTGAACTTGTGATACTCCTGCCTCAACCACCCAATGGGCTGGAGTTTCAGGTAAACGCCAGAACCAGTTTACTGATGTGTAGGATTAGCACAGTATGGATCTGTTTTCTCAGTTTATGTCACCTTAGCATCATGGCACATGCCCATAATCCCAACATTCCAGAGGCTGAGGCTGGAGGATCTCCGCGAGTTTGAGGCCACCCTGAATTACATAGCAAGACTGTCTCAAAAATAAACAAACATGGTATCAGTAAATTACTTGTGTATGATCCAATAGGGGAGCACAGCAGACACTCAAAGCTTGAGCAAGAGCAAGGTCATGAATCAGAGAGTGGGGCAGGGACCTGAAGGGAAGCTGGCAACCCAAAACCCGTACTCAGGCCAGGCTGCACTCCCTGTGAAAATTGAGGCAAGGGTCTCACTGCTGCTACTCCTACTTCTGCCTGTTACCCTCTCCTTACGCACACGTTTGCAAGACTACATTTCCCAGCGCCCCTTGCGGAGGAGGCCGGCCGGGGCCCGCTTCCGGCTCCAATTCCGCTTTGGACCACACTTCCCATGAGGCCTTGCGCCCCGTCCTGCTTTTCCCGGGCCTGTCTCCGCGACACTACTTCGGTCCCAACTACACTTCCCAGCAACATCGGCGGCGGGGCGGGACGGACAGGACGGGGCTGTCCAAGTCGGGGGCGCCGCCGCCGCCTCCCAGTGCCTGTCCCGTTTCTTCTTCCGCTATGCCGCTGCTCGTGGACGGGCGGCTGCCGCAGTCCGCCGGGGAGCTCGTTCGAGCGCACCCGTCTCTGCAGGTGAGTGGGCTCCAGGCCAAATACCAACTTTCTACTATTGGCGCTACACTGTTACTTCTCACAGCTGAAAAACTGTCACCTGTTCCTACTTTTGGGCTTCTCTATGAGATCACTGGATGGGAACCTCCAAAAGTTTCAATACTAGCAAAGAGACCAGCCATAGGGCGCGAGCCCTACTCGCCCGCTGTAGCCGCTCTCGCGCTTCCCCTCGGCGAGTTTAAATTTGGCGCATCCGGAACCTGGCCGCCGACTGCCCACTTGTTTTCACTTGGGGGTCCGCGAAGCTTTTGCCTTCTTCAGACCTTAGAGGGCACGTTCTCGAGGCTCCTCCTTTACAGGGGAGGGGACCGGACCCAGATGCCAGGGACTTGCCCAAGGTCGCACGGCCACGCGCAGGACACCCCTCCCCCGTCCGGGGCGCGTGCACGGTCCCGGGGTCCTCAGGAGGCGGCGGTCGTCCCAGTGTGGGCTGAAAACAGAGTTGGGCAGAGGTTTCCCGGCGAGGTCCTCTGGTTCTTTTCCTCTTATCCTCCTACTCTGCGGGGATAGGGCATCTGGTTATTTTTAGCCAGAAGAAAGGTCTCTGCTTTCCCTCAGCTGGGCCTGGTGAGGACCACGCCCTGAAGGTTTTTTGGTTTTTTTGGTCTTGTTTTGTCTTCGTTTTTCTTGTTTAGCCCCAGACTGGATCTCTGAACCCTTAGTCCACTTCTCGTGCAGGTCCGCGGCGTAAAAAAAAACGAGACAGAACATCCCACGTGCCGCATCTTCAGTTCAGGGGCAGTCGGCCCGTCCCGCTGATTGCAGAGATGAGTGTTGACCGGCTATGTGTTGGACACCCATACTGACCACTGTCCCAACTCTCAGCATGTTGGCGGTCTAGAAGGGGAAATGTTTTTTAAGCACAGAAATAGCTCAAGTATAAAGTGCCATAAAGAAATAGTGCCCCCTTTCTGATGGAAAGCAAGTGGATGGGACGAGTCTGAGTTTGTGGTTTCTTCTGTAGCAGCTGTATAAGTTTGTTACTGTTTTTTCTCTGCTTCCTTGTTTTTGTTCATTCGCCTCTTGAGCTGTCCCCCAAATGTAAGCTTCCTGAAGGAACATAGAGTGTCTTCACTTTTGTGCCCTCAGAGCCTCGAGCAGTCTCTGGAAGTTGACTTTGCTCTCAGTCAATATTTGTTAGAAAAGGGACACAGTGACTCAGAAAATGGCCTGCAAGATATTGGAATTATTAACAGGGAAAAGGTGGATGGCTCTCTGGGCTTCTTAACTTGAACTTCAAGACAATTGGAATATTAGCTAATTCATGCTAGGCTAAGCATTCTGCTAGGTCACTCTCCTTGTATTTTGTCGTCGACAGTGTTAACTTTGAAGTCAGGAGTAGAACTTAGACAGAAAAAAAAAAATTCAGCCACTTAAAAAATATGGGTTACTCTCCTTCTGTGCCTGAACGCGACTGTGATAAAATGTTAGGTCAGTGTCCAGGCCAGCTCACCAAGTGTGGAGGCAGGGATGTGGTGAGGAGCCAGGGCCTCTCCTCTCCCAGGAAGGTTTTGGCCTATTTAGGGAGACTTAGTGTAGAAAGGACCCATTCGTGTTACAGGATCACAGAGAAACACACAGGATGAGCAGCAGGGGGGCCCTGTGGGGTGTGGACTGGCTGTTTTCCCTGGCCCCATAGAGTGTGCAGAGGAGAAGGGAAATAAAGCTAGAGAGGGCAGGCTTTCCTAGTGTGTATACTCCGGACTCCATGGATCTATCACCTAACTTGTAATAGAGAAAAGAAAGGTTTAATTATTTTCATTTAAAAAGCATTATGTAGCCAGATATGATGGTTCATTCCTGAAACCCAACACTTGGGAGGCCAAGGCAAGAGGATTGCCACAAATTGGAGGCCAGCCTTAGCTACATAGCAAGACCCTGTCCCATAAAAGGGGAAAAAAAACAACAAAAAACATTATGTACTCTTCATAGGGAAGTAGAAAATGTAAATATTAAGATCAACTTTGTTCATAACCATCCTGCACATTTTGAATAGCTTAACAGAAGTTTTTCATAGTACATTATAGACTTTTTAAATGATAGCATATTTTTTTTTCTCATGTGTCTTTCTCACGCAACAGTATGTTGTGTGTAATACCAGCCGTGTTTTGAGCCTGTGATTAGCATATACAGCCATCTCCCCCATTATTTGCTGTTTTATTTCCTGCAATTTTAGTTACCGAAGAGTCAGCCATGGTCCAAAAATATTGAATGGAAAAATCCAGAAAAAAACCAACTCATAAATTTTAAATAACTTTTATTATTGTAGAGTGATCACTTCTCCAACTGCCTAGAAAGGAGGATGTTGAGAGTTAAAAAAAAGACCTGTGTAGTTTTAAAGTGGAGGGGGGCTGGGAGATCAGTGCCTCAGGGCAGGCAAAGACGAAGACTCTGATCTGGCCATTGTTTATTGGGTACACACAGTAATTGGAGGGAGCAGCAGATGACTTGGCGGGTGGGGGATCCTATGTTGATGTGGATCTCATGCTGGGCGGGATTGATGAAGGTAGTAGGGATAGGGAGAGTATTCTTATAGTAGGAGGTGGGATGAGTTAAACTAATAAGTAATTTGACCTTCCCCAGGTGAAACCTTTCTCTTTTTGTGTATACATTTTGGGGGGTGGGGTGGAGACAGGGTCTCACTATGTAGTTGAGACTGACCTGGAACTATGTAGCCCAGGCTGGGTCGAACTCACAGTGATCCTCCTGCCTCAAGCCTCCCAAGTGCTGGGATTACAGGCATGCGCCAACAGGCCCAGCTTCTTTCTCTTTTTGTATTACTACTTGGGTCTCAAAGAACCAGGATGTCTTCAGCTGATGTAATCTTGCCCTTGAGCGCCTCAGCATAAAGGGACCATTGAGGCCTCAGCTGTGACTGGAGGCAAAACTGAGTTGTTTCCCAGTGCTACAGCCAGTTTGAGGGCAAGGTGACATTGTGCATTAGACAGCTCTTTAATTATGAAATGATCCCCCCAAATTATGTTGAAAGGCTCCCAACATTGTATTACAGAGTATTGTTAGAATTGTTTTATTAGTTATCTCATGCCTAATTTATAAATTAAACTCGATCGTAGGCATATCTGTAAGGGTACACATAGGATTTGTAAGGTTTATCCTGTCCTTGGTTTCGGGCATCCACTGAGTGTTTTGGAAGGTGTCCCCCTGCGTAAGGGAGGACACTGTAATGACGACAGTGAGGCTTGCTCAGCAGCACTGGCCTTCCGAGTGAGTGAAGCTGCGATCCTCATTTTACAGAGGATGTGGACATCAGAGGTTGCATGACTTGTCCAAGGTCCCATATCCTGTAAGTGGTAAAGCCGGGACTGGCACCTAATTTCATTATAGTAGCCACTAGCCACGTGTGGCTGTTTGCAAATTAAGTAAAGTTTAGGAATTAATTCTTCAGTCCCACCGGCCACAGTTTTGGTGTCCAACAGCTGCACACGGCTCCTGCATGTGACAGTGCAGACACCAACTGCTACTGCCCTGCAGAAAGTTCCTTGGGCAGCAAAGGCTGCAGCCTTCACTCCTCACCAGCCCCACGGTGTCTTATTCAGTGGTTCTGCAGAATTCCACAGTACAAATGTATCATAACTTAATCCTGCTTTTAATCCTGCTGAGGATGGAGCCCAGGACCTCACAGCTGCTAGGCAAGCATTGTACCACTGAGTGACACCCCCAGCCTTGCATGCAAGATGTTTGTAGTGGTTTTGCCAGTATGGACATTCTCAGACCGTCTTTGTAAACAGATTCAGGCTTATGAGCACAAAAGTGATGCAACTAAACCACTATTTGGAAGTAGTGAGGCTGGCAGCCAGTGGGTAGGACAGACGGCAAGGTGGACCTCTCAGGAGACAGGAAAGCATAGATGAGGAAGGCTGACAGTCACCCACTGGTGGTGATCGCTGTTTAGGGACCAGGTTCATGACACGCCCTCTCTCAGTCCTCACCAAGCTAACAAGGTGGGTGGATATAGCCGTGCCCATTAAGCAGGGAGGAAGCAGAAGCAAAGAGGACCAGCAGTGTGGCTGCAGGCACTTGGAGAGTGCCTCACTGGATCCAGTGCTCATAGCCGATGTTGCAGTGTTGTTTTTGTGGTTCTGGGGATGGAATTTAGGGCCTGGTGCATTGTAGGCAAAAGCTGTGACACTGAGCTACACCCCCAGCCCCGCAGTAACACAGAAGAAAGACAAAGGGTTGATAAAGCGTGATGGTGGGAAAAGAAGTCTCAGTTGTCACACTAGGTAATTTCTCAAACACCACTGTGTGTTTTTTGGTTTTGGTACCAGGGATCGAGCTCAGGACCTTGCACTTTGAGGTAGGTGTGGTGCCACTGAGCTAAATTCTTGGCACAACCTCTTTGTTTTGTACTCTATGAAGCACTTTCACACTCCTCTAGGCATGGACTAGAGCAGGGATGGCAAACCTTTTAGAGCTTTCAATGATACAAATAGCCCAATGTGGCATGGTGCCATAGGTTCGGCACCATGGTCCAATGCGAGGTTACACCTAAGTGACTGGCTTGGACAGTCAGCAAACTACAACTCACCAGCCAAACTCTGTACAATGCCATGAGCCAAGAAGGCGCTTTACATTTTAAAATGGTTGGAGAAAAATGAAAAGAATCATTGTATTTCATATGATATTCTGTGAAATTCAAATTTTGGTGTTGCCTCTAGAAATCTGTTCAGAACACAGTCACGGCTGATATTATGTATGTCTGTGATTGTTTCACGCTACAGCAGCAGAGAGCACACACAGCCTTAATATTTACTATTTGCCCTCTCTTTAAATTGTGTTGTTGTTAATTCCCAGGTTAGGAAAATGGTGCCACTGAGTAGGAGTTGGCGAATCAAGATGAGAGACTGAGCAATTTTTGTTGTACATGCTAGTATACAAAGAAGTTAGAAGTTGAGAAACCTGGTGCCGCTTTTGTTTCAGAAAGCACACGATACTGGAGCTGTGTGTTTCCCCAGTGAGAAGTTAGACTAACCTCGCACGTCTGGAAGAGCTTGTCTACTGTGGCATTATCACTTCTGGTCAATTTTGCTTTTATTTCTTTGGGAAATAGTAGAAGCTGTGTTGAGAGAAATGCTTTTTGGTCTTTATGAAAGTGATAACTCGTTGTCACGACTGCTTTGGGTGGTGACCCAGCTGTAAAAATGAGTCTTAAAAATTGCCTTTGTCCCTTCCTTCCCAAAGGTAAAAGTAAAAGGTAAGTATTAAAAGAACAATACACAGGGAAATCTGGATTCTTTTTCCTGTTACTATTAGTTGAGGTGAGAGGTAGTATGAGAATGAGAAGTGGTGGTCCCTGAGAGCTTTTCAGAGTGTTAAAACAACTAGCCGTATTTATTTCTTCTTCTCCAGCAAGCATGGTGGAGCGTGCTTATAGTTCCAGCACCAGGAGGCCCAGGCAAGCTGATTGTGAGTTTGAGGCCAGCCTGGGCTGCGTACTGAAAGCCCATCTCAGAAAAACAAAGCAAACGAAAAACCAAAGTTGTGTTAACAGTCTCATTTTACACTGGACATCACTAAATTCTTATTCTTAGTTCATTTCTTTTGTTTTTGTTTGCTTTGTGGTGCTAGAGACCAAACCCAAGGCCTTGCATTTCTTTTAGTTATCATTTATTTATTGAGTGTGTGTGTGTGAGTGTGAGACAGGGTCCCACTCTGTAGTTTCGGGTGGCCTTGGACTCACTGTGTGGCCCAGGCTGGTCTTGAACTCGCAGTGATCCTGCCCCAGCCTCCCAAGTGCTGGGGGTATAGGCAGGTGCCTCCACACCCAGCCAAGGCCTCGTAGTTTCTTCTTTTTGTTTTCGTTTCCTTTTCTCCCCGCCCCACTCTCCCTCCCTGCCTCCCCTTTGCCATACTGAACCCAGGGCATTCACAATGAGCCACATCCCCAGCCTTTTTTATGTTTAGTTTTGAGATAGGGTCTTGCTAAGCTCCCCAGGCAGGACTCAGTCTTGTAGTCCGCCTGTCACAGAGGCCCAGAGTGCTGGGATGACAGGCACGCATTGGCATGCTTCATTTCTTAAATCGAGGGCTTCTCATGTTAGTGACAGCTTTGCTCCCAATTAATGGGAATTCATTAAAAGAAGAAAGCAGTGAATAACTACTCAAGCTGGTCAGTAAATTTAGCATATCTCATGCTGGCCTGTAACCCTGCTCTGGAAGGCTGAGGCAAGATGATCACAAGTTTGAGCCCAGCCTGGGCAATTTAGTGACTGAGACCGTCTTTTAAAAAAAGAAAGAAAGAAAGTAGGTTGGGGATGTAGCTCAGTGCAGAGGTCCTGGGTTCAAATTAGCACTAGACTTGAGAAATATCAAGCAGCCTATATAAGAATTAAACCTGTTCTCCAGTGTAGACACCCCTTGGTGCTTATTCACTTAAATAAGTTTGCTCATTTAGATTGTTTCAAGTTAAAATACTTGCTGGGTTTTTTTGTCTTTTGTTGAGATGGTTTCACTGTGTAGTTCAGGCCACCTCCTGCCTCAGCTTTTAGTTACAGGCCTGTGCCACCTGCCAAGCTGAAAATTACTGTACATTTCAGTGCTATATCAGCTTGACTTTTTGTTTTAAGACAGGAGGGTCTTAATGTAGTTTAGGCTGGCCTCGAACTCACGTTGATCCTCCTGTCTCAGCCTCCCTAGTGCTGGGATTACAGGTGTGCATCACCGTGCCCAGCCAGTTTCACATTTTTTGAAAAGCTTAAATTTTCTTGAAACAATTTAACCACCTAAATTACTAATTTTATTTTGGCATTGAGCCTGTTAGGCAAGTATTCTGCCTCTGAGCTACACTCGCAAACCCTGTGTTCTTTTCCTTTTTCTAACTTTTTTTTTTTTTTGGTGGTTCTTGGAATTGAACGGAGGGCTTTTGCATTGGACTATATCCCCACACCCCCAACCCTTTTTCACCACTTTTAGGCACTTGGTAAGTTGCCTAGACTGGGTTTAAATGAGTTTGTGATCCTCTTGCCTCCTTCCAGAATGCTGGGGTCACTGGTGTGCGTCACCACACTACACCTTTTTAATAGGCTTACTGCATAAACATTTATACAAATAATTATACAAATCTTTGATACTTAGTATTGATAAATCTTTCATGATTTCACATATCCTTTTTGTTCTGCTTTAATAATGGCCTCATAGGTACTTGGAGACTAGAGCAGTGAAAACAGCAGAAGTCACTCATGTTTGCTGTGGCCCAGTCGTGCTTCTGTGGGTGACTTTTTTTTCCCCCTGTGTGTATAAGCATTTTGCAACAGCTGTACTAGCTGTATTTATACTCCTTTAAAAAACTATACATTTGTGTTTTGCCCCTTATTTAACATCTCAAAACTGTTTCTCTCCCAATTATTTATGACAAGGCAGTTAGTGGTTGAGTTGTTTCTGCATAATTTGCTTGTGCTTGTGGTTCCCAGCTGTTCTGCTGATCTGAGTAACACAGTGGCGGGCCCATTTGTTTCCCTAGAACACACTTCCAGCTGTGGCATTACCGGCTTCCGGTGAGGGGAGTCCTCACCCAGCTCCTCTTGGAGGAAGTGATGGAAGGCTGTGTGCTCTGGGCCACCCAGCTGCTCCTCTGCTGCAGTCCGATTATCTGTACTGGTGAAGGGGTCAGGAGCCTTACACTCTAGTAAAGAAATGTGAGAAGGGATGCTTGCATCGTATTTCATAGGTACTAAAATCTTGTTTTATAGTTTTAAAAAACCAGTTTTATTGTTCCCTTTGCATTATTTGAAATGAATGTCATTTAGCCTCTGTCAGATGGTGCATACACACCCCTCAGACACACTAGCATGTTTCCCAGAGTACACTTTGGCTCTGTCCACGTTTAGTTACTTAACCCTCACTAATTTACATCACTTTTATTTTTTTTTAATTAAACAGGAAAGAGCCACACTCCTCAGAGGTCAGTCTGTTCAACAAGTGGGACCCCAGGGCCTTCTGTATGTTCAGCAAAGAGAGCTTGCAGTGACCTCCCCAAAGGATGGTAGGTTAGGAAGCAGTGAATTGGGCATTATCCCAAAAGGCTACTGGATATTTTATTTTATTTCTTTTTTAAACAGGCTCCATCTCCATTCTGGGTTCTGATGATGCCACCACTTGTCACATTGTGGTCCTGAGGCACACAGGTATGATGAGAGAGGTGAAGGAAACTATTGCTTAAACCAGCCCAACAGTGTGGGACCGTTTAATTTCTCGATTTGAGTTTCCTGGTGTCCAATTGGAAGCCTGGCTTCGCTCACCTCCTTTCTGGTCTGCATGGTATCTCCCTGGTGCCCTGGTCAGAATGGGTTGGCTGGGCAGCACGGACTTCTCTTTTTTTCTTGCAGGACATTCAAAGGTGACGCAGCCGAATGGACAGGAGGCGTCCTGGCCTGCTTCCCAAGTCCTCATGGGAAATAACCCGAGTTGTTTTACCCTTGTTCTTCAGGTAACGGGGCTACCTGCCTGACACACTGTGATGGAGCGGACACCCAAGCCGAAGTCCCCTTGATCCTGGACTCCATAAAGTCCTTTTCCGACCACGCTCAGTGTGGAAGGTGAGCTCCGCGCTGCTTTGTCATGTGAACTGGGAACTTTGTGGTGCTGTGTAGAGGTGACAGCTCTGGGTGCTGTTTCAGAGACACCTAATGTCACTGCCCCTGTGGCTTGTGCCCCCAGAGCAGAAGGTGGCACAGCGTTGGCACTGCGGCAGTTGTTGACTGAGTGGACGATGGGCACGGGAACAGTCCGAGTGGATTTTAAATGGAGTATGACTTGAATCCGGTACTTGCCCTGTTTCAGTGACAGGGCTCAGCCATTGCTTTGTTACGGCCCAGATGTGTGGGGTATAATGTTCAGTTATTGATGGAAAGCTTCCTGTGAACAACACTTGTTACAGGGCACGGACATCCTGCCTCACCATGTCCACACTCTGAAGTGAGGGCAGGAGGCAGCAAGGACGAGGCAGGGGCCACATCAGTGCTTTTAGCCTGGATTGCTGGGCTGGAGCTGGCCCTGCTTGGCGGTGCCCACAGCATCTCCTCCCCACCGCCCTGGTGAGGGGCACATTCCCTGCTCCACAGAGACGTGGCTCACATTGATCGGTAGTGGCTGAGAACTAGACCACAGGGACACTGTCACTTTCACTTGTGCAACACACATCAGTTAGAGAACGTCTTTTTCTTCTTGGTGCTGGGATGGAGCCCGGGTCTGGTGCGTGCTAGGTATGTGTTCTTCCCTGCCTGGCCTGCCTCGTGGGTGTATGACCTACCAGCAAAACTCTTCATTTTGCACTGGGCTCTGCAGATTGCGTAGCTGGGCCTGACTGCTTGATTGAGGGAATGTGGGTGTTAGATGTTCCTGGTCTGTTCATAGAATTCCTTGGGCCGGGCGTGGTGGCCCATGCTTGTAATCCCAGCATTCAGGAGGCTGAGGCAGGAGGATCGCTGTGAGTTCAAGACCAACCTGAGCTGCATAGTGAGTTTCAGGTCAGTCTCAACTACATAGTGACAGCCTGTCTCAAAAACAACATAGAATTCACTTGGTCACTCCGGAAGTTAGGAGGCAAAGCTGGCAGTCTAATGGCCCCAGAGCCACAGCAGTCCCCGCCCCTCAGGAGGCACACGTGGTTTCAGGTTTATTCCGTAGAGAGGATCTGTCTCATGGAAGGCAGCATGAAGTGTGGCAGCACTTTCCCCCAGTACCAGTGCACAGGTGGTACGGGCTGTGGGAAACACGCGGTTAATGGGGTCCTCCACTAGGGAACGGCTGTGGCCGGCAGGGTCCCCAGACCAGCACCTCTCCATCCGCTAGTGTTTGGGGGAGGACCCTGTGGGAGTCTGGCGTCAGTTTCCACGCGGATAGTAAACCACACCCTCTGGGTGACAGGCGCTCCCTGCCCCTTTTCTCACACCTCAGTTCCTCTCAAAGGTATCAGGAGATCCTTGGAAGTGGGCAGGTGACGAGGAACAGTCACTTTCCTCTGGAGCAGTTTCTCCCCCGAGTCCACACCGCCGTCCCCTCAGTCATCTGGGCATCCGGCCAGGGGCTCCAAAGCTTGTGTTAGTCTCGGCAGCCTCCACTTGTGCGCCCAGTGCGCCTTGGACTTCATGTGCGCGTCACAGAGGAGAAAGGCGGAAAGCACGGCTGTCGGCGAAGAGAGCGACACCGAGGCGCGCTGGGAGGTGTTGTCTGGCTCTCACCACCGCCCGTCTCTTTACCAGGCTGGAAGTGCACCTGGTGGGAGGCTTCAGTGACGACAGGCACTTGTCACAGAAACTTACTCATCAGCTTCTTAGTAAGTTCGCTGATTTTTTTCTCCAAATTTGATAAAAATTTGGACCTGTGTTCGCTTGGGTTAAAAATCCCACTGAGCCTACAAGGGACGCACTTGGGGCAGATGAAAAAAAATAGGGCCACTCGGCTGGAATCCCAAGCAGAGTGGATACAGGGCCCACATGGAGCTGGGTACGTCGGAGCCCCCGAGATGGGATTTTCTTTTAAAACAGCAATCGGTGCATTCTAGAATAGTAAATCCTCCAAATTGTATAAAATGAAGGAACCATTTTTTTGGTAGGATCATCTGTTTTAGCCTCTGGAAAATGGAAACACGGATGATACCATTTTCCTCTCCTGAATTAGCAAAAAAAAAAAGGCGGGGAAGGTGAGTGGGAGGCAGGCTGTTCTGTTAGCCACCTCCGGCTCAGCCCTGGAGCACAGCGGGCCGCTTCTGACGGTACAAGGATCATCTCCTTCGCCCCGCTCATGCCCCTTCCTGCACTCTGTTGGAAGAAGTACTGTAAAGTGTGCACGGGTTTATGTCCAGAGATGAGAGAACCCTGTGTACAACGGGTGTCCGTCAGTGGAAAGTGGTGAGTCACTAAAAGAATAGGAAAGGGATTGGATTGTAGTTTTCCTGTATTTTCCAAATTTTTTAATGACCCCAATAATCAGGAAAAAAGGTGACTTAGAAGATTGAAAGTCTCCTCTTACAAATCTGCGTCTCCCACACCTGAGAAGGCAGGGAAGGCTGGAAAGGCTGCCGTCCGCTGCTGGCTTGGGGCTGAGCCTGTGTCGGCGGCTGGCAGTCGGGCGTGCGTCTGGCCGCAGAGGTGGTGGAACAGCTCGCTCAGCTGGCTTCTACCCTTCCACCCGTCCTTGCTCAGCAGTGTCTTCTGCTAATTAGAGGAACTTTCTTGACGTCTAGTTTTAAAACTCTTAATTCTAGGCGAATTTGACAAACAAGATGATGACGTTCACTTAGTGACATTATGTGTGACGGGTAAGTTCTGCCATTTCCCGAAACCATGTAGGTTCAGGGACGTTTTGCCCTCACTGTTGCTGCAGGCCCAGCACCAGGACCTGAGTTGTAGAGCACACACTCAGCGTGTCGCTGCCCGTTGCTGGCACGGCCTCCACCCCTTGCCATGAGCCCCTGCGTGGCCTCCCTGCTGATGCGGCACCCCCTGCCCGCAGGTGTCTTCGGGCCGCATGTGGGGCAGGCCAGGGCCTGACTGCGAGGGGCTTTGTTCCGCACAAGCCTGCCTGACGGGACGTTGTCCCTGTCCTCGGTTTTTCTCACTTCCCATCGAGGGCTTTGTTGCCTTTGCTAGACAAACAAAAGCAGTCATTTCGTATTGCTCAACAACTGTATCCTAATTTTTTTCCTAATTTTTCAGAGTTAAATGACAGGGAAGAAAACGAAAACCACTTTCCAATCATTTATGGTATTGGTAAGTAATGTGTTTTCCTGAGGCTTGGAGGCTTGGGTGAAAAGCTGATTGGACAAAGTAGCGGTCCCATGGCTCCCTTGAGGCCTGAGCAAGTAGTTCGCTCACAGCTGTAGGAAATTGTACTGCAGAGAAAACAGGGACCGCATGTCCAGCACAGACCTGCCCACACCTGCGGGGTCTCAAGCAGTTCTGTTCTTGGCATGGTGTGCTCTTCTCTAGACAGAGCTCTTGAGGGAGTGACGGGACATTGGAATCTTTGTACACTTTGCAGACCAGGTAAGGTTTTGAGTGAGAACAGAGGTCACACCGGAGAAAGTATACAACTATCGGGCTAAAGAACTTAATCTGCCTCCCTCCACCACAGCCCCGAGGGTCCTGAAGAGGTAGCCTGAATGGGCTGTATTTGCAGAGGGCTTCTGCTGTTACAGTTTGTTTAGCTGTGTGGCGAGTACATAGGTGCTCACTATTTTTATTCTCTAACTTTCGTCTATCTAAAATATCGTGGTGCCTTGGTTCACAGACTTCTTTCCACGGTTCTGGTCACAAAAAAAGAACCAAATTCAGTGGTTAGATTCAGTGTTGAATGACCGACCTTACAGGGAAATTTGTTTTGGCTCTTACCTGGTTCGGTTTGTGACCAGGATCATGCAGAGTCCAGTGTGTGAACCAAGGTACCACTGTAACAAACTAAAAACTGGTGGTCTTTGCCACCATCACAGGCCACCTGCTGCCCCCGGCCATACAGAAATGGATTTGGTCACAGGGCTGACCAGGGTGGCTGTGCATCTGCTGCTGAAACAGTGAGCTTTGTACCTGCAAGCAGCTCTGGGCTTGGGGATCTGACCTGGCCCAGCTCAAGCCTCAACAACCCCTTTCCAGAAAGGGGAGGCATAGATGCCTCAGTGGTTTCATACTGCAGACTCCCCACCGTGCTTCTTCTTCAGTTAAAGTCATTCTGTTGCCTTTGCAGCTGTCAACGTTAAAACTGCAGAGATTTTCAGAGCCTCCTTTAAAGATCGAGGCCCGGAGGAGCTGCTGCGTGCGGCGCGGGCTCTAGCAGGAGGCCCTGTAAGTGCACCGTGTTAGGGGGTTGCAGGGATGCGGGATGAACTGCCCAAGCCCTGAGCTTGACTCCACCTTTACAGGCCGTAGAAAAGTTTGTCTGCCTCTAAAGCTGTAAATTGCCAGGGACTCCCACAGGTACACTTTCCCATTTTGTTGCAGAATAAAGATTTTAGGTTTTAAGTTCAAGACCCCAGTTGTCTGCCTAGAAGGTGCAAGAGGTGGTGTGAACCCACAATGTACAGATGCAAAGAGCATGAGCCTATGTCTGTAACCTGTACAATGAGAAGAGCAGCAAAGGGAGAAGGGAAGTCTCTCCTCTCTTTGTACTTGGGATTATCCTCCCTCTCCTTTTCCCAATACTGAGGATTAAACCCAGGGCCTTTCACACCCAGTCCTTTATTTTTATTTTGAGAAAAGGTCTTGAGTTGCTCAGGCTGCGCTCAAACTTGTGATCCTTCTGCCTCAGCCTCCCAGAGTGCTGGGGTTACAGGTATGCATCAGAGATCATACCTTTTTTTTTTTTTGGTACCAGAGATCAAACTCAGGACCTTGCGTTATTGGGGATCAACCCTAGGGCCTGGCATACGCTAAGGTAAGTGCTCTACTACTGAGCTACATTCCAGGGTGCTTTTTAATTCAGTATTTTTAAAGTTAATAAAGTCCCACATGAGGAACAGGTGGGAGAATTCTTGTAAAATGCTCTGAGTAGAAAGTATAGCCCAGTGGTATAGCACTTGCCTAGCACGAGCCAGGCCCTGGCTTGATCCCCAATAACGCACCATAAATGAAAACTTTCACTGGCTGTGTTGCACACATCCGAAATCCCATTACTCTTGAGAGTCTGAGACAGGAGGATCACAAGATCAAGCCCAGGCCATGAGACCCTATTTCAAAATAAAAAATAGTGCCAGATTCCACCCACAGTACCACATGCGGTGGGTGGGGGGGCGCTCAGCTTAAAACAGAAATCAAATGTGTTTGTTAAACACTGGAAAATGTTTGGCGTCAGACCAATTTGTTTTGCCAGACTTTTAACATTTTTAGGCTTCCTTTTGTTACTCCTTAAATAGCCTAACAACCCTAATTTACTTACTCAGAAGATATTTCACCCTCAGTAACCAAAACTAAACATTGCTGGTTAAACTGATAATTATCATTGGCTAATTTGGGGAATTTAGGGGATGGATCATTTGGCAAATTAGCTTTTTACAGTTGGTGCTTTTTCCTCCTTTTGACGGGGCATCAGGCATTGAGAGTTTTCAAGTTGCAAGATTATTAGCTACTCAAGTTGCAAGATTATTAGCTGTCTATAATGAAGCAGTGTTTTGTGTAGCTGTGGAGAGCACCCATGCCAGACACGCTGGGTTTGAGGCCCATCTCTGATGGTCAGTGCACAGAGCTATTGGGTTTTTACCATCTCCTCAGAGGACTGCTGTCAGCACTACACAGTGTTCAGGGCCAGACACAGGGCTACACCTCACACACAGTAAACACTCCCCACTTCCTCCTCTTGAATTACTCTTTCAGATGATTAGCATTTACGATGCAAAGACTGAACAACTTCGAATAGGCCCGTATTCCTGGACACCACTTCCACATGTGGATTTCTGGTTACAGCAAGACGACAAGCAAATACTCGAGGTAAGAATTTAAAGGCCAAGTAACTGTTAAATCTCTGGGTCCTGATTTCCTCAGCTGTAAGGAAACAAAAGGGTTTTGATGAGCTAACAGCTGCTTTTTCCTTAGTGAGTAGCAGAAAGTTTTTGGAAGCCACTAGCAAACCTTGTGTAACTTTTCTGCCAGCTGGGGCTAAGTGGTGTCCTCTGTAGAAGTGCGCTGGTGGAACAGTAAGGAGTCCCCTGCACACGTTGCGGGAGATACACGTAGTGATTTGAGAACGCCCTGACTAGTATTTTAGAAAGCAAGGAGAAAGGAACAGGCAGGTGGTTCTGTCATGCCCACTCTTTTTTTCCCCCCCAGAATCTTTCAACTTCCCCTTTGGCGGAGCCTCCCCACTTTGTTGAGCATATAAGATCTACCTTGATGTTTTTAAAAAAATATCCATCTCCAGTGAACACACTGTTTCCTGGAAATAAAGCTCTCCTCTACAAAAAAAATGAAGATGGCTTATGGGAAAAGATCTCTTCTTCAGGAAGCTAAAAGTAGGAATTACCAAAGCAAGCGACTCTTGGCATAACAAAGACTGCTGGTGGGGTTTGGAAAGAACATGAATTTGGAATCTATATCCATTGAGTCTTAGGTCTTTTTCCTTACTCGTACCTTTCAAATGACTTTCAAAATAAAATCTTATTTTGGCAAAGGCATTTGTTTAGCTTTCCTTTTACGTCAGTGTCCAACCTTTTCTTTTGGGTCAGTAATAATGGGCAGAGGAGAAGCTACCTCACTGGTCTGTCAGCAGCTGTTTGAGATACGTGGGTAAGTATTTCTCTCCTCAGTTCATAAAAACCGAGTTTTTAAAATGCAATAAAATTTAGTGAGAATTTATAAATCTCAATTTTTTTTCTCAAAAATACTTTAAAAGCTTCACATCCAAAACTTACCTATTTCTAGATAAATGAAAGGTTGAAAACAGATAATTGTATTTGAGAATAGCGAGGTCAAACCCTCAGATAATCTGAGTTTAAATTAGAGAATTATACAGAGCCACTGATGTCAGTTCCTTTAGATGCTATTAAAATGCCCGAATTTGTGCTCACTTTGGCAGCACACGTACTAAAATGCCCAGGTTGTAGTTGCTATGCAAGCTACACTTTTAGGAACCTGTTTCTCAAGTTCCTATTCAAAGGAAATCACAATGTTTAATAGTAAGGTTTATAAACTGAGTTCCCTGGTAACAATTTCAAGAACCTTTATTGAAACCAACATTCAAACAGTATCTCAAGGGTGAAGTTCTGTTTCAGCAAAACTGATTTAACAATTCCAAATATATATATAAAAACATTTAAAAATTAATCTTGTTAAAGGTGATAATTTACCCCTGTCCCATGTTATCTGCTATACTTCATTGCACCAAATAAACAGGGAAGACTGTTTAATCTGCACCAAAAAATAAGGGAAATTATTTTGACAAGTGCCAAATGGCAAAAATCACATCAAATCAGTGTAACTATAGGCTTAATGTGGTATAACTAAGGCTTCCCACGCTAGTCCACAGACCCAGTGTGAATTCCCCACTGTCTTAACTTTCCCATCACTCGACTTTGCAGGACTGAAAAGGCACAGGGGCCCAACCTTAGAACAAAGAGGACGACGTAGTACTTTGGGAAAACAGAAACTGGTAGGAATTTGGGGACTGACTTGCAGTCATTTCAGCCTGGAAGGGACACTTTTCTGGCTCTCACTTCTGAGCTGGAGCCAGGGTGAGCTGTGAGTGGAAGAGAAGCTACAAACCTCTGGAAGGAGACAGTCAAGGGCGAACTTACTTGAGCATTCCAACCCGTGTAGTACTGCACAGCACGTCAGCATCAGGCTCTTCGGGACAGAAACAAGCAGTCTGCACCTTTACGCTGATTTAAAAGCTTTACCAATATTTAAAAATAGACACACACACACACACACACACATATATATGGTCAGGAAGAGACTCAACAGTTATTCCTAGTTAGACAAGTCCTTAAGTTTGTTTACAAAGAGCGTAGAAAGGGAGAAAAGATTTGTGGCAAAGGACAGCCCCAGACAGAAGCCCTGCCACGGCTCACGTGGACACAGTCCTTAAGTCTCCAGGAAAAGCAGTAGGTGGGGTGCAGGAGAGGGCTCTTGAAGCCCTGTGGTGACCACCAGATGAAGGTCACTGCTGTCTCGCCTCTGTGGAATCACAGCACAGAACCCGGAAGAGACCTAATAAAGTCTCCATGTGCAATCTAATCACGTAAGCTTATGTTCAGAAAGACAAGAGCAAGTGTTCCAAGTGGCAAACACCTGAAATTGTGAGTGTTCTTTAGGAATAAAAGTGGGAAAGTCGTTTTGCTACCTTTGGGCAGGCCAGAAACAATAGTACGTTGTTCTGTGTACACATAAAATAATTGATTGCCCTCCTGGGAAGCCTGGCTTTCAGGCATATATTTGTGCAAAAATCCCAGCCAGCACAGGTCCTTTCTACTGGATGAACATGTGGCACCGTTCACTTTCAGTGTAACGTCTTCCCTGAAAACAGTCAGTACAGTCTCAGTCCAATACTGGATTTTATCTTAAGCTCTCCGGCTCCTGCACCTGCGGGCACTCATCTTCCAGACGCTGGGCACTGTTCTGGAGGGCTCCAGTCTGGCCGGCCTGAGGGGCTGGTGCCCCCGGAGGCTGGTCAGGGCTGTGGGCCTCTAGAGTGCTCTGCTCAGGCCCACTGGACATGTCTTCCACCTTTTCCAAGTCTTCGATGTGACTCACCGAGCTGGTCTCACTCATGGCATCTGAACCTCTCAGGGACCTCTTAAAAGGCTTCTGACCTGGGAAAAGGGACGAACAGTGCTGACAGCTTGGAGAGGAGGCCCAGTGACGAAGGCTCTCTGGAAGCCTGGTTACCACTTTATAACTGCGTGGGGAGAAATCCTGGAATTTCTCGTTCACAGTAGCTACTGTGATTCTTTCATGTTCCTCAGGCTGGGAACTTCTGAGGTCATCTTAAGCTCAGGAGAATGAACATCACGATTAAAATAATGCCAGCCCTCCAGACCCCAACTTGCCCCCCTCCAGTGCCACCAAGGCACTTCTGTGCGGTGAAGTCTCAAGGCTACTGAATGGTTATTTAAAGGGACAGTGGTACATGGTCTTAAGTATATAAAAATAGGAGTTGGGGTTAAGGAATCAGTAAAACAGGAATGAGAGCTAACCTCAAACAACGGAAAACTGTTAAACATGATGCAAAGGTCTGTTTTCCTCCCCAAGAAACAACCGATTTTCTTCCAAGTTAATGAACTCAAACTGATGTAACGCACCTGGCAGTCTCTGTCTGGTGCGAGTGCCTGAGGGCGTTGGAGGCGGCGTCACTCCTGTACCTTGTACTTTGTAGACATACGTGTGTTCTGTGGACTCGAGAGAGCCTGTCGGGGAGAAAGAACAGTGGGCAGAAGCTCCTGGCAGCGGCTGCCCTGAGTGATGCCACTGCGTGTGCCTTCCTGAAACACGCCAAGACCCAGAGACAGCTGGGTTAAGCGGCCCCAGCCCTGCTGAGTGTCTGTGCCCTCCCCACTCTGAGTCCCCGGGAGCGGCCCACCGGGGGAATGTGCTTCAGCAACAAGGAATGGATGCCGCTTTGCTTAAGGCTTGGCGGATTAAAACTCAGATTATCTCCTGCCCTTGTTGACAGTACGGTCATTTCCTGGGGAAAGGGACCTTGGGTTTCGGGAATGTTATTTCCTTGGCAGAACAGGAAAAGAGGAGTCTGGGCTTTAATATCTTCCTCAAATTCTAGCAACTGGTTATACTTCTGGTTGCCTGGTTTGAGATTAAAAGTTGCAGAGCTGTGTGCTCTGACCTTAGAATTCCCCTTTCAAAAGCAGCCCTGTGCTGGGCAGAACATGCAAGAGGACTGCAAGGACCAGTAAGCCCAAGCTCATGCCCGGAGAGCTGAATGGACCGGTTCTCGTGGATTCAGGGGAGGGGAGTCCGCTTACTACAGGACTGAGCACCTCCTTCCCACTATTTTAGTGATGGAGGGGACTGGAAAAACACGGCAGGGCAGCAGGGACTCAGATTCCTGGCAGAAGGGACAAACACTAGGAACTGTAAGGGAGAGACTGTGCAGCGTGAGGGATGTCGGAACTAATAGCATCTGGTCAAAACTCCCGTGTAAATGAGACCTGAGCCGAGACCAGTTACTCCTACCTGCTGTTAAGTTAAATGTTCTTCCCTTTTGTGAAGCTTGTACTGGAGAAAACCAATTCAGCACGGACCCTACTACAGGGATCTGCCGCAGTACTCCCTGCAAAACATAACCCTTGTTCCTCAGGATCATGCCAACGATGAGCTAGGCTCCCTGCCCAGTGCAGCCGGCCTCACCTCCTCCAGAAGTCGTTCCTCATTTGCTTTCTGCAGCTGAACCTGGGCTTCCTGATGTGAAGCTTGTACTGGAGAAAACCAATTCAGCACGGACCCTACTACAGGGATCTGCCGCAGTACTCCCTGCAAAACATAACCCTTGTTCCTCAGGATCATGCCAACGATGAGCTAGGCTCCCTGCCCAGTGCAGCCGGCCTCACCTCCTCCAGAAGTCGTTCCTCATTTGCTTTCTGCAGCTGAACCTGGGCTTCCTGAATTCCCCTCCGGACGACTTCTGTCATGTTTTCCAGAAGCTATAGAAGACCAAGAAAGGCATTACTGGCTTACACTTCTTGCTGGGATGGACAGGAACTGTGGACACAGCACTGGGGATGTTTTACAGAAGTACATTAGCAGTGGAATTCTGCATTTGTAGGCCAGAGTGAAAAACCAAACAAGACAGTAAAATGCTTGTGGAGGCCCAGACACACCTCAGTGACCAGCCTTGCTTGATAAGCAACAGGAGAAAAAACTACTGACATCCTGAATGTCCTATCAATAGAAACACGTCACCCACTCAACAATTCAAGGAGAAAAAGACGGAAGCCATAGTCAGGTTTGGAAGAAACCTCAACGGCCCATCCAGCCGTGAATGGAGCTGGTTCCTCAACTTCATTTCAAACTCCCTTCTCTTCTGACCCCTACCCAAAGCAAGATACATGACAAGCACCTGTCTTGTCTCAGACACATCTGGCTTAGGGAATGGCTACTCTGGTCCTTTGTGCCAGCTGGCCAAGCGGCAGGTCTGTTCGTGGTGGGAGTCCTGTTACCGGAGACGCCCATTTCACCTGTCTTCAGGCCCAGCTTCTTTCAGGAGCTCTGCACCGAGCTGGCAGGCAGAGGGGTCTTCTGGAACGTGCAGCTACTGTGAATACACAGCACTCGCTGCACACTTACACGTGAGTGTGCATCTCCCCACTGCCTGCCAAGTCGAGGGCAGCAACTGTGTCAGGCCTACTTGGCTCTCCTGATGTCTGGCACGACACCTCAACCATGGGGACACTGACAGACGTTTTGGGGGTGAGTGGACATTTTTCATGGCTGCTTCCTCTCTCATGACCCCAGTTAGATGGGGAGGCAAACCCCCTCAAAAGCATTGATCAGTCTTACAGACCCTTGAGTTTTCCTCAATTTCCCGAGCTGTGACTGCAATTGTCTCCACCAGTTCAGATACATCTATGTCGTCGCTGGCCATGCCAACGTAAATGCAGCTCTTCATACTCTTGTACTCAGGGCCTGCAGGCAGAAACAGCAGACAAGCTTGGCTCCCGTTCTGTCGAGTGAGGCCTGGCCACTCCCCTTTGTAACTGCGGGACCATGAAGAACTGCACCTCCCCCTGGACCTAACCTAAAGCTTCCTCCAGGTGGATGAAGCCGTCGAGCCCATTAGAAAGCTCCCTTCCACCCTGCAGTTAACTCACAGAAGCAGTAATTACCCATTCTAAATGTAAGGTCAGATTCCAGTTCATTTAACTTTTTCAGGAGTCCAGCGTGGATTTTTTCTCCCTCTGGGTCAGATTTCAAACTGCTCTTATCATCATTTGCATGTTCATACCTAAAAACAATATCGAACAATAGCATTTTAATCAGACGTCAACTGTCTCCTGAAACACAGGGTTATAGGGAGAGACTGACACAACATGAAGACCAATGGGCAAAGGAGCCTCTGGCGGTATCTTTCTTGTTTTGGTCTTCTGAGACAGAGTATTACTGTGTAGTTCAGGCTGGCCTTGAATTCACCACGTACTCCAGGCTGGCTCGAACTCAGCAATTTGTCTGCCTCAGCCTCCCAAGGGCTGGGATTATAGGTATGCAACACCATGCTTGGCTGAATAGTGTTGAGAATGAAAACTCTCAAGAATATAAATAAGGCCTAAGTAATTGGCTTTATAGGAAAGAGAGGCAAGGTCTGGGAGTCTCATATATGCAATGAAAAGTTCTTATTAAAGAGGACAGCACCACAGGGCTGCATGCACTCACTAGAGGCCAGTGGTGTGCGGTCTCCCAGGAAACGGTTGTGTTTCTTACCTTTGTGGAATACTCTGTATACCCCAGATGGCATCTCCCCACTGGTATCTCCCACAGGCACATACAGAGCACACGCTGCCTCCTAGGGACGTCTGCCTTGCTGAATGCAATGGTGGGCTGAGGTGCCTGCTGGGCCTCGTAAATTCCCTTAAGTTCTATCTAGTTGAATTTTGGACAGACAGCTATGTTGTGACTGCACATACTCATCTTGAATTTCAAAGCTGGTTCGCAAAATGACCCACCATGTGCTTTATTCGGGAAAGTCTCCAATATCAAGAGGCAAGCCAAGCCTTTACCTGACAACCCCTATTCCAGGCCAGTTCGGGTCATCAACATAGAGGAGACCTGCAGTCCCTTCTACTTCCTGCTTGAATTCTTCTCGCAGCTGCAGCGTACAGGTCAGGACAGGCAGTTTGCTTTGGACGCAGGCTACAAGCTGATCCACATCCTCTCCTTTTGTTCCTAACACTTGAAAACATTCACAGAGCATTTGAGAAACATAAGGAATGGCTTACAGGAATCCCCTCCCCACCCTCATTGGCAAAGCCAAAAGCTCTAGGTGTGGTCAGTCAGCTAGAGCTGAGGAGTCAAGAGAAAGGCCACCTAACCCACCAGGAAAGAACCAGGTGTTAAAAACTAGCACGGCTGGTGCTCCAGCTGTTTCATAGGTTTGGCACACGGTGAAACTCCAGTGTAGAAAATGGACTCTTGTCACACACAGCACCGCTCTGGTCTGATTATAAGAGAACCCGAGGTTCTCGACATTACCACAGTGGAGGGCAAGGGAAGGGCTTTGGAGGTCTGTGTTGGGGACACCAGCAAGGGCAGGGCAACTGCAGTCACTTCAAGGCCACAAGGCTCCCCTTTCTGCCCGCTCCTGCTGCCTCAGGGTGTCCTGGCCTTGCCCCCCCAGCTTCAAAGACTCAGCCCCCAAGACTGCTGGTCTGGCCATCAGTAAGCTCCACAGTGGCTTTTGCTTTGCAGGACGAATCCCTAGCATTTCCTACTCTGCTATTGTTAAGAAAAATACCTTTCTAAAAATGCTGAACATACTTCATGATAAACCTCTGTACATTTCCTAAGAATGTTTAAGTCACCTCACAGAAAAGCACACCCAAATTTATATATTTTTTTAAAAATCCAGTTTTTAAGGATGACAACTATGTATTTATGGGGTACCAAATGATGTTCTGAGACACAAATACACTGCAGTGTTCAAACTGGGAGGGGCGCTTCTATCTCCTTAAACATTCACCAGAAATATTCGAAGTCCTTTTAGCTTTCTTGAAATACACAGTACATTACTGTTACATACGGTCGCCATACTTTTTCCTCCTGTCACTTTAGTCTTCACATCACCATCAGGAGCTCGAAGATGTTACTCAGGGTCCCACAGGTATTTAATGGTGCAGAGGACACAGTCGCCAGGACTTTCTGTGGTAAAATCCACACTCTTTTGGCTGCAGGACCTTCTGAAGTGTCTAAAACAGGGGCTGTCAACTTTCACTGGCCTATTAAAATTCCAGGGAGATTTTTTTTAAGAGTAGAAAAAACTAATTGAAAGATAGCTTCTATCTCAGAGAGACAGAAGCGGGACTGCAAAGTGGGTTATCTCCCAGGGAGTTTTTAAGATGCCAATGCCCAGTTTCTAAGATCCTGGCAGGTCCCGTGCCTGGAGGGGGCACGGCAGCTCAGTGCCCCTTCCCAGCCTCATCTTCGCCATGCATGTCAAAACACCATGCACTCCTTAAGGGTGTACAAAACAAATAAACACAACTGAGAAAAGGCCTAGGAAATCAGAATCTCTGTAGGGGGCCAAGCCACTGGTAGTTTTTAAAGCTCCACAGTGACTCAAAGGTGCAGTTGGGAGCAAGGACCCTTGGGAAAGAAATCCGAAGGTCACAGGACATCGAAACACAGGCATTCAAATGACTTCAGAAGCCTGCTATTTTTGAGAAGTTATAACAGGATGCTGATCTAAATTTAGACCGGAAGAAAAGAAACAGCTGACCCTTAGTCTACCTCATCTTCAGTGCGCACCTCTATTAGGATCCTGTTTTTAATGAGATCCATAATGTGGGTCATCTTGCTAGGGCTACCGCTCTTCGGGACTTAGTAGTTTTTCTAGTATTGTTCTTTGCCATGTTTTCTCCTCCACAGGAAGTGTAGAAATCTCTAAACTGCTGCATCTGTCACTGTCCACCTCTAATGACAGACCAGGAAATATTGCGACCTGCTCCTTCTTGGGCTCTCCATTCCAACCTAACTGTAAAGTTTATCCGTTCAAGGCTTCAGGTAGGGATACTACAGACTATAGCCCCGACTCTCCTGACAAATTCTCCAACCTTTCTCCCACTGAACAGGCAGCTTCCTGACAGGCACTCGCTTCTCAGGGCCTTCTGGCAGGTTTTCAGCCCAGTCAGCGAGCCACAGCATCCCAGGTAGTCGGACAGCACATAATCCCCACGAGGACTACTGCACACCCTCAATGTGGGTGAATTACGGGTATTTGTCTCTCAGGGAAGTGAGGCAGGAGGTTAGGGTGTGGCCAGCCAGCTGGGCAAGTTGGCGTGACCTGTCACAGTTCCCAAGGGCTACACCTGGGACCAAGCAGAAAATGCTATCTTCGCTTCTTTTGCACAGACCAAGCAGGTTTTGGATAAGGCATAGATCTGAAGTCAGCCTGGGGAGTGGGAGCTACAGGGGACAGTGGCCATTAACCTTGTGGCCACTGTGCTCTCTTCCACAGTGGCCCACTTGCACCTGCAGAAATTGCTACTTTTCCTACCTCAATTGTCCCACACATGCACTTTTTCTATCTTAGATTAATGTGAAACTTTTGCTACCTTAAAAAAAAGAAAAAAGAAATAGCCCCTCTAAAAACTGATGCCAGAAACCACAAAACATCATAGGGCAAAAAGAATTTAGATGTGTTGTGTACATGTATCTGTTCCCTACAATGAATGCAATCATTTACTGCAAACATGAACTAAAAAACAACACAAAACAAAAACCCCAACATATAGAGGAAAATTAGGTGGGGTGTGGCAGCACTTGCCTGAGATCCCAGCCCTCGGAGACAGAGGCAGGAGCAACTTAGCGATGCAGCCAGGCCCTCTTTCAAAAATAAAAAAAGGAATTTCAAATTCCCTATGATAAATCTTACCATTATGTATATCTAAAATGTACCAATAAATGTTTGCTAAAAAAGAAAAGTAAAAAAAGGGCTGGGGATGCATTTTAGTGCCAAGGCCCTTGGTACAACCTCCAGTGTGGCAAAATATAGACAGACAGACAGAAGGTAAACCTAACAGCCTGGACTTTCAAAGGGCTCAAAACTGTCTCCCCAGAACAGAAGGAAGGGAAACGCACAGACCAGTTACCTGCTGCTGTCATCAGAGGGCTGAACCGCACACACGTGCCCTCGACCTCCAGATCCAGGACTGTGAGGCCGCTTGCAGGCACCAGCTGTTTCACCTGTTCTCCCAGCTGCAGGAAAGAGGACAGGACGCATGTTCCCATACCACAGGACGCCACCTCCCCGCTCTGCTCGGCACAGACTGGGATGGGCTCCTGGAGCTCATTTCCTTTCATCTTCAGGGGGTTTCTGAATACTTATGGCCACTTTTGAGAAAGAGCCTTGCTGTATAGTTCAGGCTGGCGTTGAACTCACAGTGATTCTCCTGCCTCAGCCTCCCAAGTGCTGGGTTTACAGCTGTGCGCCACCATATCCTGTGCCACTTTTTTTTTTTTTTTTAAACAGTACATACTACTTTTATTTTTTGAGACAATGTTGCTAAGCTGCCTTGGAGGGACTAGAAATTGGAATCCTCCTGCTCCAGCTATCCTCAGTGCTGGGATCATAGGTGTGTGCCACCAAACCTGGCCCCAGCCCTTTCATTTTGAGACAGGCTCTCACTAAGTTGCTGAGTGGCCCTGGCTGGACTCAAACTTGCAATTCCCCGCTCCACTCTTCAGCAGTGCTGAGATAATAAGCCTGCACCACCATGTCTGGCTTGTTTTCCTTTTTATAATACAATTCACTCTATAAAACTCTACAAAATGCAGGTAAATGAAAAATGTAAAAAGTATCCACAATACACCACTCAAACACTGCTACATGTGGTATACTACTCCAGTGTTTTCTCTGTCAATGGTGTAACTAGATCCTACAGATTCTAGTAATCTGCATTCTTCATTTAATCTGTGCCAGCCACTTCCTGGCTGCCTAACATTCAGCAACATGGTCTGTAACCATGGAGAACATGCTCACACTGTTCCGCACACCCGACTAAATTCCTAGAGGTACCATTTCAGTGTCCACAAGGTGCCGAAGCACAATGCCGCTGGCTCACACTGCCCAGCTGCTGGAGGTCCTCCTGGGACTCGCCTTGCTGCCCTCCCCAGAGCACAGCAGCCGTACTGCAGTCACAATGCGGCTGTTTCATGGCTGTACACTGCACAGCCGTACAGTCACGGTGGAAACTAAGGGCACGATGCCATGAAGACAGAAAAGAACCCCAGGACAAGTCGAGCGCTTGTGTTACCCCAGCCATGCTGCTCTGGGATGTAAAGAGAAAGGCAGACAGCTGCCACCTTACCCAGCGATTCAGAGCATCACAGGAATGTCTCTCCCAGCCGACTGTGGAGGGCGCCATGTTGGGCATTGGGACCGATTTACACTCTGGATCTGAGGCCAAAACAGAAAGGATTCACTCCCCAAAACATGGCCAATTTAAACACTGCACTGAGATCCTATCATTAGACCCAAGGGAACAGCCTCACATCGTACTGAAATCAGATACGATTCTGCCGGAAAGTTTACCATAATACACTTTTTTACCTCACAAACTATATAATGTCTGAATACATTTCCAGAAAAGAATTCCTAACTTCACTTTTTGAAAAAGTTTGCTTTGAAGGCCTCTGGACTAGTCAACACCTAGTCTACCAAGCACTGTGCAAAGTCAAGCACAGTACCAAGCATCCCAACTGGGCTTCCCAAAACTTCTCCTGAGCCACCAAGTCGTCCGCGAGCCTGCTCACACCTGGGACTGTACCAGACACCTGGGATATACAAAGCCAGCAGGGCTTCTGTCGCCTCGGAGCTTATATCCTAACTGGAAAAAGAAAATCACTACATGCTGGTCATTGCCAGTGCCTTGAAAGACAGCCATGGGCCGGGGCACGGTAGGATGGAGCCCTTCAGTCAGGACAGAGCAGATGCGCTCTGGGGAGGTGGGAACTCAGTGCAGACCTAAGGGCGAGAGGAAATGCATGTGAGGCAGATGGGACAGCAGATGCCAAGGCAGCAGAGTGTTAGGGCTGAAGTACACTGCTGAGGAGGAAGGAGTGTCAGGGGAAGGCGGGAGCCAAACACGCTGCCCTCAGGGGCCACGGAAAGAGCCTGGCTTCATTTAACCAAAACAGGAGGATGCTATCGTGCTGTAGGAAGGAAGTGGTCTGATTTGCTTTCTACTTCTAATGCTCACTCGCTGCTATGAGGTGCAGGGTCTGAAAAGGGCCAAGCACAATCCAAGGAAGTCAGATAAGTTGAGTGTAAGATCCCGAGTTCAAGCCCCGTACCAAAAAAAAAAGACACAAAAATATCCCCTTTTAAAATCACCTACCTGAGGAGTGTGGCAATTCCCGGCAAAATCTGAACACCACCACTGGAGAACTGAGCTCATCTTCCACCTGTACAAACACAAGTCCAGTGTTACCAAGTGACAGTAAATGGCGACACCACCAAGTGAGATGGTCGGCCGGGAAAGTAGTCTGGACGTGCTCCGTTTTGTACATTTAAAAACTCAAAGGTTAACTCGGGTGTGGTGATGCACATCTATAATGGCAGCACTTGGGAGGCCGAGGCAGGAGGATCGCGGAGCCTGGGCTACATAGTGAGTTCCAGGTCAGTCTCAACTATATACTGAGACCCCATCTCAAAAAACCAAAACAACAACAACAAAAAATTCAAAGGTTGATTTCAGTTTTAGAGTAACAAAAAGAAAACTAAAATGTTTAGGAGTGTGACCCTCCTGAGAGCGCACTGTGGTTCTGAGATTACTACTGGACACTGAAAGCAGGGGAAAAGTTTAATATTTATAAACAACATTAATGATCAAAAAGGTAAGAAAGACTGGAACTAGAATCAGTGCTGAGGGTGTCAACGCTTTCAAAGAATCCTAGCAATCATTCAAGATTTATTAGACCTGGTAGAAAAGAAACAGAACAAGTACTCTCTCCTCATCTCGTAACACTTGGAGAACAGGATGCCAGTGCTGTTGGCACTGTACATGATCACGGAACTGTACGCGTTTTCTAAACAGTTACTTTGTACTTAGATTCAGCACTTCTGGGAGACACATCAACCCACTTCACCAGTCAGTCCGCTAACACGAAAACGCTCACCGCACCGCGGACTCTCGTTCGGCTATCAGCTGTAGCACAGTCAGGACCACAGAGAGCAGCAGCGTCCCCACGGCCAGTGTGGTACTTCTGTGGGGTGAGGCCCTGGAGGGCCAGCTCTCCAAACGTTCAGTAACTGTGCGGTTTATCTCCAGTCTGGAAACCTATGCTCCTACAATGAGGGTGCCGACTCACTTGAAGAGACAGGAAATAAACAGCCCACAAACTTTTCTACCAATTTTTCAAAGGATCATATGGATGTAAATCTGATTTCAATTTATATTCAATTCTTCCAATAATTTATTGAGCTAGTTCCTGCGCTAAAATGGCTTCCATCTGTCATCTCCTATAACTTTCACATAAACATTCATTCATTCATTCATTTGACATAAGGTCTCACTATGTAGCCCAGGCTGGCCCTGAACTCAAGGAGATCCTCCTGCCTCAGCCTCCCAAGTGCTGGGGCTACAGGTGTTCAACACCACACCTAGCCTGCCCTTGTTTCTTTAAAAGTATTAATATTTATCAAGCCTAGTGGTGCATGCTATATCAAGACCATGTTGCAGGGAGGAAATGGTATTAACATTTAAATAAAGTAGAGTAAGCCCAATAAAGAAGGAACAAAAAATGGTGACAAAATAATCCAGCCATTTCCTCTTCTTTAGTTAAGATAAAGCAGAGTAGGGCCAGGGGTCTAGCTCAGTGACACTGTGCCTGCCTTGCAAGTATAAGGTCAAGAGTTCAATCCTTGGTACCAAAAAAAAAATAAAATAAAACAGAATGACTGGCTCCCTCCCTCCCTCCCTCTCTTTCTCCTGTTCTACTGGGGATTGAACCCAGAGGCTTCTTGTTGAGATTCATCTCAGCCCTTTTACCTTTAAATAGCATCTTGCTAAGGCACTAAGTTGCCCAGGCTGGGTCCAAATATGTGATCCTCCTGCCTCATCCTCCCAGAGTACTTGGATTACAGGATGCCATCATGCCCAGCTTTCCTTGAATTCTCATTACAAATGTCAGTGTGCGTAAGAAAGATTGTACAAGGTGATACACATGAAATTCGGGTTCTAGCCACATGGTAGCTAGTACACAAGCTACCTATTCTAAATATCAAATGATGGATTAAATATAACCAGTAACCAAAAATTTTTAAACCAATGATGCACCTCTGTCATCCCAGCACTCGGGAGGCTGAAGCAGGAGGATCACCATAAGGCTGAGGCCAGCCTGGGCTACCACTGTGAGTTCAAGGCCAGCCTGAATTACATAGTGAGAACCTATATCAACCACCCCACAACCAAGCCCGCAAAGGAAAAAAAAAAAAATCCCTGGGCTCACAACAAAGGTAAATCTACGAAGAGGAAACAGAAACGCACAGCACAAAGAGCAGAGCAGAGCTGGGCTGAACCTTGGGCTTTAATGCTTATGCGAGGCATGGTGGTAAATCTGCCCAAAGCCTCCATAGAGCTTCTACAGGAAAAAATACAGTGAACACATAAGGAAGAAAACCTCTCAGGGCATACAATGATGGGTGGCAGAGGGAAGGTAGGTAGAGTGGTCAGGGGAAGTCTGTCTGCATTTGATGGAAGGTTTGAAAGCTCAGGAACAGAACTGGGAAGGGGGCTAAAGGAAGTAGTGCAAGTGAGGCACTTAGTACAAGGCATGGGATCAGGCGTATACGTATATTCTACAAAGCAGCAGCAGCTGCAGCGACGATGATGAGCGACAGATCCGTTACCGAAAAAGCAGCCATTGGAAGAAAGGACAGGGCGGGATTTGTGCCTGGGCTGTGTGTAGCCTTACAAGATGCTTCAAAAGAATTCCGGACAAACTAGCTCCGTCAGACCCCCGCCTGGAGGAGAAAGGACACGGAGGAGTCCAGAGGGTTCGGCAAGGCAGGGATTCCAAACCGCATGCTCAGAGTCCCTCTGCCACCCGAAGGGTCCCACCGAGGGTAAGAAAATGACTCCAAGTCCCGGGCCACCCCGTGACATTCCAGGGTCCTGGCTGGGAGTCATCTCCCGCACTCCTACCGGCCAGCCTATCTTTCCAAAGCTCCCCAGCCAGAACTCAGGCTGCGGGGTTCCCAGCTGCTACTACTCAGGCCTGACAGGAGCCCGCAGCTGCCCTCAGCCCACATCCTAAAACAGAAGGAAATTTACTAACTCGGACCACACAGAAATACTAGTTTTAAAGCTAACTGTACTCTGCAGAATTGTCACATACTCAGGGAGTCTGTTTAAATCAAAATCTGACCGATACACTCCCAGCAAAACTCCCCATGACACGCAATGGAGCGAAACGTTCCCACCTGAACCGATACTCATTCTTGGCTGTCAGCGCTGCTAAATTCTCATCTCCTCCTCGAGTTATTATCCCAAAGGTGCAAGAGATTCATTTTAGGATGAATTCAGGAGAAGAGAAGAGCAGGCCTACTTGCTTTACTCTTTCTCATTACCCTGGTGCAAATATGAACTCTGGGACCGGAAAGTTTCAGAAAAAGTAGCCCAAAGCATTCTGAGACAGAATGATTTTTCTTTTCAGAAAATGGGTGATCTAGAGTCCTCAGTGAGGTCAAGTCAATGAACTATAGAAAGGCATTACTGAAATCTAAGCCTTGTAAAGTACAATTTCTTGGTCTTGGGCTAACTGTCCAAGTCACAGAACAAATGCATGATGCTTTTGCAAAGGCTGAATTTTTTTTTTTTTTAAACTGGAGCTGTCACAATTCAACTGAAATGCATCACATTTGGAGAAAAGCATTTTGTTGTTGAAATTTTTAAAAAAATATTTCAAAATAGGAAATTATATACCATACCAACACTTTGATGTGGTTCACTTTCTTCAAACTTTCCTGCAACCGTTGACTCTGCAAATGACAAAGACAGCTCATGTGATTTCACTAGGTCAACATGCGGATTCAGTTTTCATGAGGGGATTCAAGGCCTGCAAACAAGGATTTCAGGCATCTGCAACTTAGTGATTTCTAACTTTGACTGCCAATTTTTGCAATTCTAGATCTGAAAATATTCTCTAATCTTCCAGGTAAAAATTCCACACAGAGATTTAAGAAAATCTGTTTCTGGCCAGGTGTGGCGGTACACTGTAGTCCCAGCACTGGGAAGGCTGAGGCAGCCTGGGCTGCATAAAGAGATCCTGTGCCAAAAATAACGAGAATAAACAAAAAAGCTGTTTCTAATGAGACGTGTGAATCTATCCTATTAGTGGTAGAGGCCATTCCTTTAAAAACCACTGAGTAGAAGCATGAGTAAGGCACAGTACTATGAGGGGACACAGCTGGCCTGAGGACAGACAAAGAGCACAGCTCTGCCAACGAGCACCCGCAGGGCCAGTTCCCTTAACATAAAATGGGAACAACAGTATCTATGGTACTGGGTTGTCAGGAAAATTACCCAAGTCAACAATACACTGGGAACTCAGGAACGGTGTCTACACCAGAGTGCAAATGTGAGCTCCTGCTATCCTCACCTCCACTGTATGCTCCAATTCCTGTTTCCTGGTCATCAGTACGAGGACAGTCACAGTGCCTGACTCAGGTGCGGGGAGCACTCATCCAGCGGATATTCACTGAGCCCTGCATGCTGGAAAAGCCCTCACGAAGCCTCCTTTGTTTTTTTTTTGGTTCCAGGGATTGAACTTGGGTCTTTGCGCTTGCAAGGCAGGCCACCGAACCACTGAGCTAAATCCCCAGCCCAACGAAGCCTCATTTCTAACATGCTGTCATCCCAGGGACTCACCCGAAACTAAGCACGCAAAGTGCTTTGTAGTGTGCTTGGTACTAAACAAATCTACCCACAAAGAAGATGGTGAGAACAGTGAGAAGAGAAGGAAACAGAGAAGACCGACAACTTCGTTCAGGGAATGTCTAGAGGGTGAGGCAAAACACTAGAGCCGCAACAGCTCAACATAGGCACTTAGCACGACGTGCCAGCCGGATGGCGTCATTCACGTCCTCCTGAGAACTTGAAATCAGCTACAGGTTTTGGCTGCAGGAAGATGCCAGCTGTGGCAACCTCAGGGCTTAGTAATTGACGTCATCGTTTATTCTTGTGCACTTTACAGGTCCTGGTGAAGTGAAGAACTCGCCCTTGCTATCTAGACTCTCCCTGAATTCAGTTACTGTGGCAGTGAGGGCCTCTCTTTCCTAACAGCCAAATCATGACCTAATGGCATAAGAACACTTTTTTAAAAATATGGTGCTTTTATAAACATAAGTTTTAAAGGTATTGATGTGAAAAGGAACTACCCTAACAAATGAAGGAACTATGCTAGCGAAATATGTACACATTCATTTTTCTTAAGTATAAAAATGACACCTAAGAAGTGCCAATTCCCCGAGAAAACTGTGGGGCGGAGCAAGCCCAGGGCCTTATGTATGTTAGACCTGTGCTCACCATGAGCTGTACCTCCAGTCCAAGAACACATTTAAAACAGAGATACAAGCCAGGCGTGATGGCGCATGCCTGTAATCCCAGCACTCGGGAAGCTGAGGCAGGAGGATCACTGTGAGTTTGAGACCAGCCTGGGCTGCACAGTGAGTTCCAGGTCAGTCTCAACTACATAGTGAGACCCTGCCTCAAAAAACCAAACCAAACAAAAAAAAACCAGAGATATAAACCTGTATGCTTAACGTGCTGTATGCAGGACTACTCTCTGAGCTTTACACACATCAACTCATTAAGTCCTCACTAACAATACTTTCTGCATTATTATTCCTAACACAGGTGAGAAAATGGAGTATCGGGCGGTGACATCATGCTTCTGAATTTAGTGGTGTCCAGCTCTCACTACATAAATGTTACACTTTGCTTTATAAATCTATGGTCTGAACATTTGCATCTGCCCCAAATTCCTGAGCCCTAATTCCCCGTGCAACAGTATAAAAGAAGTGGGGCCTCTGGAGGTGGTTAGTGTCTGAGGGTGGCACCTTCATGAATGGGATTGGTCTGCTCTCACCCTTGCCATGAGAGACAGAACAGCCACCATCTAAGAGGAACAGGTCTTTACCAGACACTGAATCTGCTGGCATTTTGATGTTAGATCAGCCTGTAGAACTGCAAGCAACACATTTCTGTTGTTTGAAAATTACTCAGTCCAAGGTATTTTGTTATAGCATGCACATTGACTACGACAATTATGTATTTTTCACAATTAGAAGACCTTGACTGCAAAGATAATCAGAACTGTGGCTAGAATCCTGCAATCTGGGAAGCTAACCCAGTGCACTGGGATTATCTAGGCCACTGTATCCCACCTCTGAGCCCCGTTACCCCTTACCCTGGAGGCTCAGCCTACTGGCATTATCCTCCCTTTCTGCACTCTCCCTACTTCCCAGGAAGCCATGCGTGACCCCAGTTCTCACCCCAGGCTGCCAGTGGTACTCCTTTTCTTTCTTTCTTTTTTTCTTTCTTGGTACCAGGGATTAAACTCAGGACCCTGTGCTTGCAAGGCAGGCAGCAGAACCACTGAGCTAAATCCCTGGCCCATCTGCCCTCATCTGTGCCGTTGTTGGTCAGTGCAAACAGCCTCTCCCAGAACTACCAACAGGAAACATGTTCACAAAGCAGTACCCGGAGGACAGAACACTGGATGGAATGACAGGTTTTCTATCTGCGTCTGCTGAGGAGTCATCACGACTCAGTTAAACTTGAGGTTTCTACTCACGAGTTGACAGGCATGCTTTATCTTCTCCACAATGCCATCGAGTCCCAAGTATTGTAAAGACAACCACAGAGGCAAGGCACGCAGCTTGTCTGCTGGCTTATTTGATGTAAGACCAGCAACTAATGTCTAAAAAAGCCAATATCAATGCATTAGTCAAAGACACTGGAATCCAGGAACTAACTGGCTCATATTTATACACGCTCTGTTTGACACTTGGCTACACAATTGGCTTGCATTATCCATTCGATCATCCAACACCTTCATGAGGTACATATCCTGGAGTGGCAAAACCAGGACGAGAATCCTTATAGATCCCAGAAGCAGAACTAAGCTCTTCCAAGCAGCAGCCCCGCGCAGGGTTGCTCTGAGCATTCTCAAATACCTAGTCATCATAACTGAGCGAGTCATCAACCGTGTTAGCGACAAATCACTTAACACTCATTCTGCATGTGCCTGTCACTAACCCATCCACTACCGAAATATCAGGTGACAACCTATTTGACAAAGCACATCAGGAGCCTTAAAATACTCCCAAGTCAGGGATCTTATCTAAGGAAATAATTTAAAACTGAGAAATATGTTTATTGTCTCATTATTTCAGTAACAGACATTTGAAACGTCCTAAAAGTTCACAAATGGCCATGATTAAATGAATTGTGATACTTGAGCGACAGAATATTATTATTACACGGATAAAATGCCACAAAATCCTTCATACACACCGTGAAGTACGGGGTGAATGACTACAACAATACATACGGAATGGATTTACTGACAAAGTTCATATATACAACACTTGTGTATGAATTAAGTGGAATTAAGTGGAAATACTCACCTTTTCCTTCATTTTTCTGTGTTTTGTCCCTAAAGCCAATAATGACTACATGCCACTCCCTGCCTCCTCCCCAGGAGAGTAAGCTCACCAGGGCCGGGTCGTCGTGTTTGTACAGCGTCACTGCAGGAACCGCGGGCAGACCCAGCCACGGGCCGGGGGTCAGTGTCATGCTGTCACATTTAGTCGCAGCCTACCGAAGAGAGAACAGCATTTCCCTGGATTATCAGAATACAAACCCAGCTCCCTCCTCCACTCATAAAAGTGAAAAACTGAGAATTCAGAGATTTTAGATTCCTTCTCAGGAACACAAATATTTAGTAAGTCAACAACATACCAGCACCGATGAGGACACATAACCGAGAGCCAATGTTGCCAGATTCACACTGGAAGAAAAAACACCAATCTAAGAACTACAGTAATTATTACTTCACATTAATGACTAAGTCTGTGCTTCCCACACAAAACAAAAACCACGACTGTGCTGCTGCAAAGCGACATGTGAATGTCTTTTAGCTCTGATTACAGCAACAGATGTGGACTACACAAATTCTGGGAAACTCTTCAAAACCTTTTTAATAAAAACGTGCTTCACAGGAGAACTCATTTAGTAAGATGCGTGCACTACTCCGTATCTTTCACAGCTACTACTTTCCAGGAACCATTCTCTACAGAGACATAAAGAATCCCCCTCGAGGATGCAGTGGCACGGGCACTCTGGCTGCCCTGTATCTCCCACCACCCCTTCCCTTAAAGGCACCCCAGTGGCCTTCTGGGAAACTCCCCCACTTTCTTCCAATAGACCAGAAGCTCTGAACCAAACAGATCCCATGAACTGCCAGAGGACTGTTTCCCTGGCCACAGTGACTGGTTCAACATGACACTTGTTGGGCCTCCTGACCGATGAACACAAGTTGGAAAGAGAGATGGAGTTTCTGCAGTTACTATGTCCCAAATAGGAAAGGCCCCCACACAGCCAGCACACAGGAAATCAAGCCAAGTGATTGTGATTGGGGAAATGCAACGGGGAGGACGACACTGAGTTCTGGCTGACATTATGGCTGAAGTCAGACCTAGCAACAATCTTCTTGGTTATGTGGGGCACTGGAACCTCTCTCTCCTTTAGCCACTTTGGAATTTTAAAAAATCTGCAACAAAATGAGCCTGGTGTGGTGTACATGCCTATCATCAAGGCAGGAAGATGGCCAAAAGTTCAAGGCCAGCCTGGGCTAACACAGCAAGAAGACACACTCTCAAAAAGTTAACAACAAAACCAAACAAAAACCAAAAGGGCCCTCAGTAATAAATTTCAGTACGTGACAGGCCTGGATGTCCACTCTTCATGGGACAACACAGAACCACCCGATCTCATCATCCACGTACCCCTCCACATGAAGCCACACGCCATACTGCTCACAGAGCTCTCTCAAACGCCCAATCTTGTCTGTGTGCCCGACTGCTGCAGTTCCTACCATAAAACAAATAGGCAAGAAGATTCAAAGAACAAATATCTTTTGAAAGTTTATAGCATAAATGCTTTTCTATACAGTATCTCTCCAGGAGGGAAGTAGCTTATACCCCTGGTTCTGAGAATATGTGGACTGAAGTTAATTTCTTTTACAAGTTGATATATGTAAGCTTTAAAGACATGCATTCTTCATTATATGTATCTAATTGTTACTAAAATCTCTTACAACCACTTTCTGTATATTCTTGTTTATTCACGAAAAATATAGTGAAGTCTCCCACCAAGACTATCGATCTGTTTTTTCTTCACGTATTTCAAAGATATGTGCCATAACCATTTCTGCTTTTAGCAGACTGTCGTTCACCAAACAAAGTTTATTTTACATACTAACGCTGCTGTAGTATTTTTGTTTTGTCAGGAGCAGGTGCCCAGACCAGTGGTGGCAAAACTATGGCACACATACTGCAGCGGCCTGTTTGTTACTGAAAGCTCTAAAAGGTTTGCCATCACTGGCCTACACTATCCTTTCCCATTCCTTTTTTATTCTTTTTTTGTCATTTTATGGGTTATTTTCATTGGGGTGTGTCCTTTATAAAAAAAAAATACACAGACGAATCTGTGTATTTTTCCATTCTGAAGCCTGTTTAAACATACTAAACACTTTGAGCCACTCCTTTGGTAACCTGATTGAATTACAGATTTTGTTGGGCAGATCCTTTTTCAGACGGAGCTTAAAAAAAACTTGGGAGTCATGCATTTTCCCATCAGTCCAAACTTTCCAGTTAGCAGAGTTCCCAACTAGTAAGAGTTTACACCCTCCCCAAGGACCTCCACAGCCCAGCTAAGGAAAATGGTTCTTTTGCACTGTCTGTGCCAGGAAAAGTGCTGAAAACTTCCCCTTTGCATATTAAGTCTCTCAAATTTTAAAAAAAATGTCTTAACACATTTAGGTTGGGTGAAATAAGATCAAATGCAGCACAGGACAGTTCCACATGATCCTTGCCTCCAAATCAAGGCCCAGAGCTGTTTAGTGCCTGGACCACATTCAGATTCCTCTTCGTATTTTTTGTCAGTGTCTGCTGACTGAACTGAGATGTGCACTCTGGCCGTAGCAATGTGGCCACTGACCAGTCCCTTAGTCACATGCCAGCTGCAGCCCCTTGCATCTAACAGGTGACTGGCTATGGGTGGATTTACTTCCTTTTAAACAGACAGCAGATAAGTCAGGAGGAAATGGTTTTCCTGCTGGCAATAAGGTGGACATTTAAGTATTTTCTTGTTTTAAATAAATAGTTTTATTGAAGTGTAATTCACAGCCATAATCCTGCTCGTTTAACTGTATAGTTCAATGAGTTCTGACAAACATACATAGGATATAACCACCAATATAATCAAGGTATAGACTGTACCTATCATCTCAAAAATTCCTTTGCTCCCACTATAGTCACTTCTCTTCCCAACGCCTCACTGGTCCTAGACAATTCTGGTCTGTTTCCATTAGCATAGTTGTATCTTTCCTAGAATTTCACTGTTTTGTTCTGCTGAGAAAGGGTCTTGCTACACAGTTCAGGCTGGCCTCCCGAGTGCTAGGATTGCTGGCATGGGCCATCAAGCTCAGCCAGAATTTCTTACGAAGGGAATTATGTATTAAGTTGACTAACTTACTGTATCTTGCTTTTCATACCTAGCATATTTTGAAATTCCTCTATGTTGCTGCATAGGTCTACAGTTGCTCAGGCAAGGCTTGAACCTGTGATCCTCCTGCTTCAGTCTCCCAGAGTGCTGAGATAGTGGGTGCACACAGCTATATGACTTGGATACACCCTTGTCTTTACCCATTCACAGATGAAAGGTAGCTGTGCTGTTTTATTTACGAACATTTTTCAACAGACTTCTGTGGGGAGATAAGTTTTCATTTCTCTCTGATAAATACCCACAGTGGAACTGATGTATTATATGGTAAGTTTTCATTTCTCTGATAAATACCCACAGTGGAACTGATGTATTATATGGTAATTTTATGTTTAGCCTTTTGAGGAACTGCCAAACTGTTTTCCAGAAGGACTGCAAGGTTCTGCAGTTCCAGTTGAGCTGCATACTCACCAGAATTTGGAACTGCAATTATTTTCAGCATTCAAACAGATATCTCAGTGTGTTTGTTTGTTTTGGGGTGGGTGTGTATATGCACATGTGTGTGTGCGTGTGTGGTGCTGGGGATCAAATCCAGAGCCTTCCGCGTGTGCGGTAAACGCTGTCACTGAGGGACACCCCCAGCACTTACTGGTTTTAAACTGCGTTTTTCCAGTGACTAAAGATGTTAAGCGTCTTCTCAAGGGTTTATATACTTATTTTCTTTGGAGAGGTGCCTATTCAAATCTTCATTTTAATAAACTATCAGCTGTCTTATTGAGTTGTAAGAGTTCTTTATATATTTTGAAATATTTTCAGAAAAATGTACTGCAAATATTTTTTCCAATCTCTAGCTTGCTTTTTGTTTTCTAAATAGGATCTCTTTCAAACAGCAAAAAAATTTTGTTGTTTTTGTTTTGGTACTGAGAACTGAACACAGAGCCTTGCACATACTAAGTACATGCTCTACCACTGAGCTATATCCCCAGTCATGCTTTTAATTTCTGATAAAGTCTAATTTATCAAAAATGCTTTTTGGGGGTTGGGGATTTAGCTCAGTGGTTCTGTCACCTGCCTCTCAAGTGCAAGGTCCCAAGTTTGATCCCCAGTACCCCCCCCCTAAATACAAAACAAAAACGAAACCAGCCTTTTTGGGTCTTTTTTTTTTTTTGAGACAGGGTCTCAGTATGTAGTTGAGACTGACCTGGAACTCACTAGCCCAGCTGGTCTTGAACTCACAGCTATCCTCCTGCCTCAGCCTCCCAAGTGCTGGGATTACAGGCATATGCCACCATGCCCAGATTGTGTCAATCACAAAGATCTTTTCCTCTATTTTCTTCTAGAGATTTTGTTACCTTAGGGCTTATGTTTAGGTCTATGAATCATCCATAGTTATTTACAGACAGACAAGCATGAAGGTTCAGTGTTTTCGTTTTTTTGAGACAGGGTCTCACTATGTAGTTGAGACTGACCTGGAACTCACTAAATAGCCCAGGTTGGTCTCGAACTGAGAGCATCCTCCTGCCTCAGCCTCCCATGTGCTGGGATTATAGGCGTGCGCCACTACGCCCAGCAGTTCAGTGTTTTTCTATACGGATATCCACTTGTTCCAAAATGAATGGTAGAAAAGATTACCAGACTATTGTTCCTCCTTTCAGTTATGTTGGTATCATTGTTAAAAAGTAAATGACCAGGGCCAGGGATTTAGCTTGGGGTTCTGCTGCCTGCCTTGCAAGCACAAGGTCCAGAGTTCGATCCCCAATACCAAAACAAAAAAAATTAAATGACTGGCTGGGCATGGTAGCACATGCCTGTAATCCCTGCACTCTAGGAGATGAAACAGAGGCACTGCAAGTCTGAACCTAGCCTGGGCAACTTAGTGAGACCCTGACTTAAATTAAATAATAAAAATGAGCTGAGAATGTAGTTTAATGTGAAGGCCCTCAGTTTAGTCCCCAGTACAGCCACCAAAAAAAAGCCACCATATGCATAAGTATTTCTGAACTCTCCATTTGCTTCACTTAATCACACACAATTTTGATTTGCAGTTGTGTGTGTATTTATGTGTGTGCGCAATGGGACCTGAACCCATGGCCTCACACTTATTGAGTGTGAGTTCTACCACTGAAGACACTCTTCAACTTCTATCTGTAGCTTTACAGGAAGTATTAAAATTAGATAGGATAAGTCTTCAAAATCTGTTCCCTTTCAATATTATTTTGGTTATTCTTAGCTCCTCTGCATTTCCACGACTGGTTTAGAATCAATTTACCAATGTCTATTAAGAAACTAGAGCCTGGCCAGAGATTTAGCTCAGTGGTTCTGCTGCCTGCCTTGCAAGTGCAAAGATCCAGTTCAATCCCCAGTACCAAACAAAACAAAACAAAAAGAAACTGTAGCTTCCTGAGGATTGAGTTGAATACATAGATTGGTTTGGGGAGAAGCAACTTAATATTACTGACCCATATGTAGAATATCAGTCCATCTACCTTGAGTTTTCTCGAATTTCTTTCAGCAATATTCTACATTTTTCAATGTATTCCGTGTACTTTGTTTTAACTTTCAATTTTTTCATGTTTTTTATTTCCACTTGTGCCCACTAGTAGGCAAAACCCCAGCAACCCTGCTAGGTTCACTAGTTTCAGAAGCCTTTTCTTCAGTTTCCTCAGAACTTTCTACCTATATCATCATCAATAAAGACAGCTTTACCTCTTTTCTAACCTGAATAGTATCTAATTATTTTTCTTGCTTTACTGCACCATCTAAAACTTCAAGTACAATGGTGAATTCAAGATAATAAACAGCAGAGGGTTGGGGATTTGGCTCAGTGTTTCTGCTGCCTGCCTCACAAGCGCAAGGTCCCACAAAAAAAAAAAAAGGAAAAGATAACAAAGAGCAGAAAGTGGTAGTTGACCTGCTATCTACAAGGTGGATATTTAGGAGTAACATTTCAGAGCCAGGGGTGTAGCTCAGTGGTACACCACTTGCTAAATATGTGCTAGGCCCTGGGTCCAAACACCAGCATGAGGGTAGGAGTGTGACATTTCAAATTCCAATTTAGAAAGGAGAAAGGAAATACTTAAGAGAAGCATTTACAACCTAAATGAAAAAGTATGCACACAAAATAATTCCCCAAACAAAACAACTAAAAAATCTAAATAGCCAACTTTTAATATTACAGTTCTAACTACCTTGTGAATAGACTACCTTAAACATGGAACACACAAATATTTCTTGAGACTTGGCATTTTTAGGCTAAGTTCTCCCCTTATATATCCAAAATCAAAGATTCAGGTTCATGATACCTACCAGCATTCGCAACAAGTAACAAGGGCAGTCTTCCTCGTTCTATATCATCTTTAATCAGTTTCTCCAGGAAGGCAACATCCTGAGGCAAAACAAAACAAAAATAAAATCTCACAAGAACATGAAGCAGCCAGCTGTTATACAATGAAAAATTGATTTCCAAAAAACCACAACTCTCAGAATTAATCCCTCAAGTCAATTTTTATTCTTGACCATTTTTTCCCTAACACTAGATATGAAAATCAAAATTTTCCTTAAAGACTAATGAGAAAAATTAGTTAAGTTGTATAAAAGGTAAAAAGTGTACATCTGGGCGTGGTGGCAATGCCTGTAATCCCAGCATTTGGGAGGCTGAGGCAGGAAGACTGCCACAATTTTGAGGCCAGCCTAGACCACTGACTCAAGGTCAGTCTGTACTATACAGTGAGACTTTCAAAGAACCAATAAAAAAATTTTTAAAGTGTACATATGCAGGACCAGTTATCTCGTTTTAAATATTTACATTTAATGAAATATGTTCTCTCAATCTCCTCAAAAAAACAGCCAAGAAAGTATCTGTATTGATAACTGATGTACTTAGCTTAAATACAGATGCCTAGGATCTATTCCTTTTCTTGATTTCAATATACAGAAATTTATCACCTGTATGTCTAAAAATAGGAATAGCTCAATCCCAAGATTACAAAGAACTTCAGTTTCAAAATCTGCCACGCGTAAGTACAAGCCACAATAATAACTTCTCAAAAGGATTAGCTTTAGGAGGAATTCCTGGTGCTTAGTTGGCTGCCATGCTCCTACTTGGAGAATGCAACAGGACTGTGTAGTGTGCGCTCACCACACACGATGCTCTGGATTCACTACTCAGCCCCTCCCCAAAGAAAGAAAGAAAAAAGGAAGCCAGGTTCCTGACCTGTATGTCGGCCAGCCTTATGGCCTTTCAAACACAGAAGCCACAGAAAGACTAAAGCAGCAAAGGAAAGCTAGTGAGTATGTGGAGGCTAGCAAA